TTGGGCGGATTGCTGGAATCCCTGCAGATCGATGTTTGGTCCCATCTTGTTGAGAATATTTTTATTGATTCTCAGGTATCAAACCCCTTAGTATTAACTGGTTCTTTCATTGTTTAGTGCGCTACTTTGCGTTAGAGAAACTTTTGACTGTATAGCACAGGCTGTACCGTTTGAGGTATTTTGTATTTTTGATATAATTTATTCTATTTTCTAAATTAGAACCGTTTATATTGAGCACAGAGTTTGTGTTTTGATATAATATAATGCGAGTGTCTCAAAACCGCGTTGTTTGCTGTACAGAGGAACGTAGTCTGGTCTAATCGAATAAATTTTGGTTCATCAGTCCGGCGTTCCAACCGAACCCTGGTTGTTCACTCGTTACAGTGTGGATAGGTGAAAATTATGAAAAAGTCTTTGACACTATGCGGACCTCGGAAAATCGTCAAGAGGTTATTCGAATAAGTAAAGCCCACTAGATCCAAGTTAGATAGAAAACGATACATTCAGGAGAGATCTAGAATATACGTGAAAAAACCATGGCTGGAAGCCACATGACTTAAGAAGGGTAGCTGGTATACGACAACCAAACTTGCTAAACTATTGTTTTCGCATATTAAACAAATAGAACACTTGATGAAGAAATTTCTCCACTAGTGTTGCACGAGAATGCAGATATACTGGTTTATTAAGATTTGGTAAAATCTAGGACTATGTCGAACTACTTCAGCAAGGTCAACACTGCAGGTGTTGTTAACAACATTTTCCATAGCCACACTACTGAGATACCAGCTTAAGAGCCACTAGGCATGACTAAAGGAGTTGTTCCTTACTTACTCACTAAACGAAGACCTAGTAAGCCACCTGGAATTCGTCACCACACATCAACTTCCTTGACTATAAGAAAGAGTTAGACTGTGTGGATAGGTGAACTTTATGGAATCGTCTTCGACACTGTGGTGTGCCTGGGAGAATCGTGAACATCGTACAAGATTCATACGACGGACTACACTGCAAAGTGGTACCTGGAGGACAGCTGACAGGTGCATTCCAAGTGAGGACCGGAGTTGGAAAAAATTTCTTGCTCTCACGCTTTCTTTCTTCTGATGGTGACTGGGTTATGAAGACCTTCACTTCTCAGAGGAAGCACGAAATATAATGGATAGCTTGGATGCAGCTGGACGATTCGGACTTCACAGATATCCGAATTACTTGATGTCATGCACACAACCAAATGCAGATGAAGACAACTAGTGTAGCAGCAGCCTCTACATAATTAGGCCTCAGTATACACATTGGAAAAAGCAAGATTCTCAAATATAACATGGAGAACACCAGCTCAAATACGCTTGATTGAGAAACACTGGAAGACGTGGAATTGGTCACGTACCTGGGAAGCATCATCAATGAACAAGTAGGATCCAATGCAAGCGTAAAGGCGAGGATTGACTGGATAACATCACTAACAGCCTAAGGTTAGAGATAATAAAGCAGTTACCAGCTGATAAATGAATCAGAAAAGGAGGTTGGAACTGGATAGGACATATATTACGAAAATCACCAAACTGCATCACGACGCAAGCGCTTACTTGCAGTCCTGAAGGGGCACGAACAAGTTGGAATCCAAAGAACACACTGCGTCGGGAGTTTTAAGCAGACATTAAAAAGGACGAATAGCAACTGGAAACGACTGGAAGGGATTGTTGAAGATAAAACTGGGTGGAGTATGCCCTTGGGCAGCCTATGCTGATTCATGAAAAACAACAGGCGTAAGTAAGTACCATGTGTGGGAAAGTGAATGACTCATCCAGAGATATTCAAGTGACTAACACCTAGGATAGAGTGAGGAAAATTGGGTGGTCGAAATCCCAGAAATAATCCTGGCGAGTTTTACTATTTTACTGCATAACTGACTGTTTTATCCTCAACTTGCATATATTTTCACCTAGACCAGCCGTATATATTTCATACAAGCCACTCTCATAACGTTTTTGGTATAAGATATATTTATTGGCTTTATGAGACAATATACTACTATGAAAAATTGTGTTGCTTACAGTCGAAGCATATTACATTAAAAAATTATTTGACAGTTCTTAGCTCTATTTGTCTTTCTCACTTGTTTATAAATGTCACCAAGTTAACTACAGTAACTTATTGTGAAAAGTCTGTATTATAACTCGTCATATTCCTGACTGTAGTCCCACAAGTTGACTCAAATTTAAAATTTTTTGGCCAACTTGTTTTTAAATTGTTATATTCCTAACCAACGCATGTTGCATGCATTGCATTACATCTTTGTACCATTGGAATATATCAATCATTTGAACCGCCTTTAACATTTTCACTGAATCCATCATAGTCGTCACTGCTAAACATATTTGGGTTCATGAATCGGGTTATGATATTAGTTGCTTAAAAATATATTAAACAAAGTTCAGATAATAAAGTTACCTAATTTAGGTACTATCGTGCTACACTGATATAACGACTAAACTGTCACGTAGTTGAATGTTTGCCCAGAACGTTTCAATATAGTGAAAATTCCCATATATTAGTGTAGAGCCATAATGAAAAACTAATTGAAAAGAAATTTCTCCGCTCAATTCGTTCCTTCTTTATCACGTAGTTGTTAGTCAAACAAGCATTCAAAATAACCTCCAGGGCCTGCTACTGAAATTAAAACTAATGAAAAAGATATTTCTGGACCGCGATTCGAAATATAATCAGGCAGCTCAGATCCGTCACTGCTACTATATTCTAATATTTCCGAATCATGTAAAACAAGACTTATTTTCTGCTAGCTATTCATAAATCAACACTAAAAATAGCCATGGTTTCTGGATATCGTCACAAAGTATTGTCATGACTTGACAATCATATAATATGATTAATAAAATTAATAGGGTTAATAGCACAGGTTCGGTCGAAAACTGATATAATAATCATTAAATAGTGTTGTTTTCCCATGGACATCACCCATTACAGGTAGTTTCGATATGTTTCTCTATCACTTGTTCATTTATTAAACATCTTAGAACCTTGTTAGTCTAGTTGTGGGTATAGCATCAAAATCATGAATGCAAATTGTCAGTATAAGCAGTTGAAAAAATCCCCTGCAAAATGAAAACATTTGTCGAATTTACCTCAACACTGGTAGGATCATACCATTGTCATACACATGAGTTGTGCTCCTCTTGGTTACAACTTACGTCCTCCGTAGTAATCATATGAGCATCATTCAATTTTTATTATCTTGTAAACAATCTTTTGGCCAGAAGCGTCGTGCGATTCCATATCACCTATATTTGTGGCACATAGGCCCTGTCGATATCAACACTTTATAGTAACTCTATTACAAATAAGACCATTTCTATCTTATTCAAATACAGTACTTGCAACTAAATTGTATGCACCATCGGTTGGTAAGTACATATAAAAATAATTGGCTTACTGCACATCAAACCATTGAATCTAGAGCATGTTTCTCAAGAATATATATTCATGATTAACGAATTGCTCATAGCTATCTGTCCAAAATGCACAGTTTTCACATAAATGAATTTTTAGAGGGAAAATATCTACTCAATCAATACTTTAAACATATCATCAATCAAATAAGCCCAAATGTGAAATTTCTCCATAAGCATGATATCATGTTGCAGGCTATCTATAATTCTGTTTTAAAATGAGGGTTTAAATCACCAATGAAATGTACATTTGATAATTTTGTAACGACAAAAATAATGACCACATTTTTTCTTTGTTTGTGACGCTTCATGTGTATCACATTTATAATCAATTTCTATCGTTTATCTGTATCAATAGTAAAGCAGTTGTTAGTCAGTCGTCTGCTTAACACACACATGCTGCTGTATGTATTCGGACTAATTGTACCTTCGTTGTCCGTCCTTCTGATTTATTAGCTCCGTCCTGTGTTTAGAGATTGTAAAAGTTTTAAAAAATCCTTTTAGGCTGCTCTACCCTACACGGGACTATTAACTTAGATCATTATAAATAAATAATATATTTGTAATATCCCAATGAGTAGAAAATTAGATTTTCTGACGTTTCGTGACTCAGTGTAAGTCACTTCTTCAGAGAATAAATAACCAAATTAAAACTAATCCAAGTTTAAATAGTACAACGGAACAATAAGAATAATATTTGATCAATCAAAAACAGGTCTGAACAAGTCAATGTCATGTCATTTCGGTCAAGGAGATTCATAAGTGATATATATGTAAATTTGTGTGCATGTATGTGTGCACTGTTTAATAATGAAAAAATTGTCTGACCTTTATGGTGAGAAAGGATAGAGTTTAGTTTGCAATATGGTAGTGTGAATTGTAGATACGATCAAACTGAATGGCTAGGATAGATAGTCGAAGTAGGATGTATGGTATTGTATGACCATAAAGATCAGACAATTTTTTCATTATTAGATCTGATGGATAAATTCGTGTGAAATGAAACATACGTAGATGGATGATATCGTCTTCTTTGTCTAAGATGTGGTGGTGAGTTAAAGGGTGCATGCACCTCTTAATAATACTAATCACTGTCATCATCTATATCCTAAAGACAAACATCTGACTCATATGTACTGCGTTTAAGTCCATAAGTACAAACATATCCGACAGAAAAAATGCTTTACGGTTGGGTCGTTTTTGTTCCGTTTACATAATGACATGACATACTTAGTGTGCCCATACTGGAGAATGAATTAGTCACAGAAGTCTTATCGCCTTATGTACTTCTTTAAGGCAGGTCTCCAAACTGTCCGAAAGTTTAATTGTCTCTGTAGCGTAATATAATTGAGGAGTCGTCCTATATCATGTATCATCACGATGGAACCACTTTCTCGATTTGAAGAATGGAGTCAACCAGAAATAGTGCAGCTAAACTTAAATCAAACCTAAAATTGTCTTGATTTGGCCACTTCAATAAAACCTGACGAGTTGTCGAGTGATTCATTATTCGGCTCACTACAGTGTGACCTTCAAGCGCTCAGTGACCTCCATCAGAGTACGATGCTACTTGATCGTTGTCCTCACTGGCGCTACTTACAAACGTTTGACTGTCGCGCCTCACGGTATTTTACTTTGTACGTTTAAAGGAATAGAGTTTTAAGTCCCGTATGGTTTATACAGTTTCAATGGTTTTATCTAGGAAATTGTCCAGTGATTAGTTCGCTGCCAATGAGGCGGGTAGGTTTACTTAAAACTGAAGTTTAACTCAATACCTAGCGCTAACGTTTTTGCTTCATACCTGATGTTATTTAGTGATGAACCTAACTCAAAACACCAGCCCGACTCCTAATATGTGAACTTAGACTTTTTCCTTTACTACAAGTGGTAATTTGGCATATAAGGGTTAATTATTCAGACAAAATGTATAATATAATATTTCACTGCTATTTTATTGCTTTTAATTGTTAATTGTATGGCAGTTGGGCAGGGATTTTTAGTCGGATGGTGAGTAGCCTAAGTTCGTAAGTATAGTATACTTGCTGTATATTATGTCTGTTTTAGGAAGTCATCGAATCCTAAACATCACATGAGTCGATTACATGATTTGAATTGTCACTAAATGATAAATACTGGTGGGGATATGCACGACAGTCCACGTGAAATACGTATTTTAACACTCGTTTGTTCGAAGTACACACAACTTAGACATTTGATATATTTTAGGCATTATACATCGAAAAGCTGCCCAAACGGCGAGACTATAATTTATGGACGAACCAATCAGATATAAGATAACGAGTCACGAATCTGGGCACGAAATTCATCCATACATCTGGCCAAATAGAGTTTTGGCATTATAGCTGACGTTAGTTCGTGATGAAAACCCTAAATCTAGTTTTTAGCCCTAACCATCAACTGTAAATAAGAATCCTAACTGTTTTATAACCCTCATTTAGTCCTAATTAATAATTTTTCACTCTCGAGGTCACTTTAGCGTCGCTCAAAGGTTGTCCATAAATTACAGTCTCACCCTTCTGATGTAAATGGACTGGTCGTGCTAACCTGACAACTACCAGGTTATTACGTGGAATTTCGGTCTTGTATCCTCTTGCCTACCTTAGTTAAAAGTTTCCAGAAACGTTGAGAAGTCCATTGTCAACCAGTTGACTACTGTCTTTCTCGTTAGGTTTAACTTCGTCTTGACACTTCGCTAAGGTTCTATTACCGGGTATAATCAAGTGGTTGTAGCCCTATCAAATCTAACACTAATAATGTGTTGGGGCCACTTAATTCTTTTTACTGCTATCCTTTTTCAATGCTACTTCGGTCACTGTTTTGGGATTAGTAGTGATTCTTAGTAGATTTATAGTCTTCCTACTAACAACCTTGGATCTAGCGTCCGAAATATTCTGGTCTAAAACATCCTTTATAGCCTTTACTGTACCAGTACTCATCCATCAACTATATGTAACTGCTGTGCTTCATTATAGCTTATAACAGGCTGTGCAACTTTGTTAAGCATGTATAGAAAAAACATCTGATGGGCCATAGGGTTCCATTCTTTAGACAAAAAAATATATTGATTCAAATGTAACTCGCGGTTTTTTTTAATCAGTTCACCCTAGTTCATTTATCTGTTAAAACAGTTCAGCTAAAAACTCCGGTTATATGCTTTGATATTGTGGAGAACTTAAAGTGATGAAGGTCATGAATAAAGAAAAGCAGTAATATTAAAAACTCTGTAGTAATACGACCAAAATAGATCTTAGTTAAAGTCTGTCTGATCCTTATAGTAAATCCTGTAGAGTGCTTCATTTTGGTTTTTATTGGCTTCTATTCTGAGTTGTGCCAAACTCTGATGTATGATCTCAAAGTCTCAGTCCTATATATTTATGAAGTCACTAACTTCTAATCTGAGCCATGTTGGTAGACTACTTGATTGGGGTCCCCGTGACTATCGTAACCAATGATTGGAGACTGTGTGACATGGCTCAGAATCGATCACAATGGCTTGGGTGTATACACTTTCTGTCTTCCCTTAAACCATCAGATTAAAATCGCTTTATATCTTTCCTTCTACGAACTAATTCTTTCTTCCTGTACTATGTCCTTATATGCGATCTTTCTTTTATATATTCCTACCACTGAATTAACTACTATGAATCCGGTGTTTATCTTGTCGTGTTAATGAGGTGTGGTAACTTGAACCGATGCACATGTGCCTGGTCATACGTCGTAGCTGACTGACTGACCTATATATTTATGTCATAATAGTACTAAGTTAAGAAAATTATTTACTTCCTCCAAATTGCGCGATTGGAATCATTTTCATTCAAAATAGTTGCTTTTTGTATTACGATTTTACACCGGATTTCAAGGTAAATGTATTTTAGCTAACAGTTTCTGGCATATGCTGAAGGGAAACCTAACTATCTTAACTGGCGTTTAATGCAACAGGATCGTCTTATTGTATTATCTGTGCTACTCATCCGCTCTATTAATGAGTTTGGTTACATTCCCTAAGTGTATGTCACTCATTTTCACTGTTATTAACACTGAGAACTGATCAAACGCTAAATATTTTGCCAACTTGCACCACCAACAAGACTGTGTAGCACAATTGTAGCATTCTATAAACATAAGACATAATATCTTCTTAATTGAAGAATGTTTTGCTAGCATCTGACCAATTAATTCATTTAAAAATTGGTTTTTTTGTCAGGAAGTCGCGACTTGTAGCCACTATCGACTTTCACTTTTTATGTAATTATTAAGATTTTGTGCATGCATTTTACTACTGTTTTTTAGTTTTAGACTGTCTAGTGTTCTTCACTAGTCCCTGAAACCTCTACTATTGTCAGCCGAATCGAAAAGCATCTGTTGGATTGTGTCAGTGGTCCCATCTGCATATTACACAAATAAATGTTAAATGGATAAACTTTCAGACTCAGTAAGTGTTTTATTAACAGCCGCTACTATAACAAAAATCCTGACTTAGAAATTCTAAGTTTTATTAGTCAGTCAGTTAATATCAAATTAGGACCTGGCACAACTATCCAACAATCAAATTCGCCAAACTTGTCATGACATCATAAACAAATCAACGGGGCCAGAAATAGAATGAGAAGTAATGATGAAAGCAATAGAAATCTAAATGTGAGAAACAAGGATCGAAAGGAACATGTGGTTAAAGGATGGGACTTTAGGATCAGTACTTAACTAAAGGTTTAAAGAAAAGTATAGAATAAATACGTCGGAGACTGATTTTGTGGTGTGTTATCCAACGTTGTCAGTCATTAATTACGGGTATTGGGTAGGGTCTAGCCTGGTAGCTTCCACAGATTAACTTGACTCAATCTAACGGTTTATGATCTTATAGACTAATCCTAACTACTGATTTGACCGCTCTAACTTCCTTTGACTCCCTCCTACTTCATTAAACACTCCACATCTATGTGGGAAATTGTCAGAGATGCATGACACATGTCCCAGCTTCATTAGTCGTGGAGATTCTTACTCATCAATTGATTTATCATCGTTGTTTGATATCTCAGTTCTAACTTCACTACTGGTCACTCAATCGTCGTACGATACGCCAGCAATGCTTCAAAGATACCTCTTACCTAGTGTTTGTAGCCTACGTCTGTCTTCTGCTTTCATGGACTATGTTTTACAGTGATAAATTATTACGAAGAAGACCGCTACACACTTTACTCTCCCTTTGGACGATAGAAAAATACTTCTCGTGCTCCACAAGGGAATTAATTTAGAAAAGGATAATCGGACTTCCTGAATCCGTGCCGAGATTTCGTTAAATACAAACCCTCCATTCATAATGAGACTTCCAAGATAAGTGAAGTAGTCGGTGCATTTTTCCTATCACAAATTCAGGCGTTGACCTATAATAGTCCCGAAGCAATATCTACCATTTAGAGGAAAAGAAACACTTCCCAACTATGCTTTCCGTGATACTAAAGGTTATTCAAAAGCTCTGAATTTCTTCACCGAGTTCACAGGACTATATCGTTTGCGCACTCCATGAGAATGGGTAAGTTCCAATGGAGGAGAACGATCCCTCAAAAATTAGTCAGGAAGTGCGTCCGTAAAATACTGTTTGACAAAGTTATGTAAGAGTGAATTGGGGAGCGCTAACAAAAACTATTTGGTGATGATAAGTCATAATAAGATCTATATATCAGTGAACTAAAATTCGGGCGCTAGTATTACTCGTTCATGTCCAACAAGTTTTTAGTGCTTAGGTTGGTCCAAAACCAGGACTTATCATCAGGTCATGAAGTCAGTGACCGTGTTATTGGATGCAGATTACCTAATTGGGATCCACGCGACCAGTAGTCAGAGACGTTGATTAACATGTTTCAGAATCAGTCACAATAGCGCAAATGCACCCACTTTTTGTCATCTTGTAGATTTAGGGTTATGGTATCCCTTCATATCGTTTCATTCTATCTCCAATCATATTCTCAATGTTTAGTTTAAAATGATCATTAGTACCACAACTGTTTCAATTCCTTTGTTATTTATCTTTTTTTATTTCATCTCGTGGTAATAGGGTGTGGCAAATTAGACTAGCACCTTTTTGTGTCAGGTTCTACTTTGGTTATGACTGACCTAGGTAATCTCGTTTCAATCAGCCAGCCATAAGTTTGAACCCTGCCCTGCTTACTTCAATTTGGGCAACCTAAACCTTGCAGTGTAACTGAAAGCCAGGTACATGATATTTCTGTCCAGCATTTTAGCAATTAAATACACTATTTAATATAATTTATCTATACGTGACACTGTTGTTATTTGTGTTCGTATTTCTTGCTTAGTTTTTATTCCAAATATTCAGTTGATGTAGGGATTTGGAAAGTATCATGTTCATTTCTATTTCAAGTTTTTAGTGGTACAAAGCTATTGTTATATGAAATTGAATGTCAAAGTAGCCTGTTAATTGAGCTGTACAATCGGATTAATAAAAGTGAATTTCAGAACAATAATTATTGAAAGTCTTACTATTCATAGTAGGGTCAACTATTGATAGTATTTTACTTCCAAACTTGTTTGGATTCATTTTATGATTGCTTCCAGATCAGACGAAAACTTTCATTCTTTCTATTTATAAGATGCAAATGTCTCCAGTCGTTATTTGCCGTAGTATTGTTATGATTCAGTCCGGAAGTGATCTAGGGAACTGAATACATTAGATTTTCGTAACCCCCCGATTATTCGAAATTCACGGTTATTATGCACTAGCTTATGTTGCTTTTGACTTAGTCTCGTAGTTCTAGTTTTTTCCTAAGCTATATTTTATTAAGCTTCACTGATTCAAATTTACATACCTGTGCTTATGTTTCTTGTTTATTCATTGTTTCTGCGGGTCATAATTGCATCACCTTTGCTATTTTAATTCATATATATGACATATATCTTGCTTTACACCAGATTATCAATGTCCCCAATAATTTACTATTATCCATAAACTCTAAACTCAGCATTTTAAAACGGGTCATATCTATAGAGTGAAAACTACTTCCGTTCTATAAACAACATTACTTGATCCTTACTGTTTTCACGTGAATTTAAGAAACCATTTATCTGGATTTAAAAAGAATGTCAATTTTCGTCGTATCTCATGTAATTGAGTTCCTATGTACAAATAACCACTACTTGAAATCTGTGTTAAGTATGTCCCGACATAAAAGCACTCTCACAGGTTTAGTGATGGAATATTTTTGTTGTGGAATTCAGAAAACATAGCCCCCAAAACCCTTTTCCTGTATCACCGTTTTTTACCTCTTAGAAAAGCATTTAAGTGTTTCTCGCTGATCTGTTCATAATATTGTCTTGTTTTGATTATCTTTTAATGGTAGACGGGGTCCGCACATTTAGAGTAGATCTCCGAAAAACCTTTACTATAGTATCCTTCAATCTTACTCATTTATATACGTTCCCGATTCTCTTCCCTTTCTATGTTTATCGTAATAAGATGTTATTCAATATTCTGATTGCTACTGTTAAGTGTAAATTGTAGAGTAGCACGTGATTACTGTTATTAATTTCGTCCTCGGCAACTAGCACACTTGTTTTTGTGAGTGCTCGTTCAGTCATCGTTTCCTCTCTATTAAAGATGCATTAAAAATGTATAAATAACTTTTGCTGGAAACTCAAATGACATACTACATGGACGGACTTACATCATTAAAAATAATAAATTAATAAATCCGAAATTGTTTATGCCGCTTTACTGACATCACAAAACTGAGTAGTTATAAGAAACTTAAGTGTTTACTACAGTACGTAGATTGATTACTTACGACAAGTTATTGAATAGTGTGAACCTACACTATCAGCAAAGAATAATCAAGTGGCACAGGATATTATGTTACTTCTGATCTCCAAATCAAAAATTACAGTTACCTTTACTGAGTTTACTTTTTATTTGATCTGCCATTGTTTTAAAACTACGCATGCAAAGTATGTTAGTACTTCCAAGCAAAAAACATTTTGGTTTGGTTATTTATAACCGAACTTAATCGCCCATGTTAATCAATTTATTCCTTAAAGTTCCCTTTTTCAAGATATGTTTCTTTTATAGCTTCAGCGTGATATCAACAAATTACAAACCGATTACCACAAAGCCATTGAAAAAGAATTAGGTAACCTGGATATTGCTTATCTCCGCAAAATACAGGTTAGCAATAAGTTACTTACCAATAACATATAGGCAAATTACTTTCAATGTGGTTTAAAGTGCTGTGAAGATCCTGATGCCTCTATTACTGAAGTGCAGCATTGCGTAGAAAGGTGCGAAGTCCCGTTAAGTAAAGCACATGAAATAATGCAATCTGAGGTCTCCTCGTTCCAGGTAAGAAGTTTTGACTTTGCAAATGGCTGCACTGGTTTAATTTATTGCATCTTTTAAAACATCTGCCGGTAAGGTGTTTATAAGTCAGTTGTTTAATGCATTTCGTACGCCGAGATGAATACCTATAAGGGATTTTACTGTAAACAAATGGGAATGGTTTTCAAACATTTATGGGGTGTATACGGCTAAAGAATGGTTATAAAACTAGTAAACAAACAATGCGTTGCAATATAAAAAGATTGGTTAATCAAAATGAATCCTCTCTGATCATTTAGACTTACCAACTCATTGTACGATGATGATTATAAATCAAACTAAACAGCTTTAAGTGCTGAATCCATTGATTTATTATTAAACTAGCCTGATAAAGGAGGTTCTGCCTGATCTTATGTGGTTCGGAAAAACGCACATAAATAGTAAAATCATTGAAGACAACGCCTTAGTTACTTTCGATTCGCGTAAACACACGGTCCTTGGACACTTTTATATGGATTACTAAAAGTTAATAGGTCTAAATCACAGGTTCTGAATATATTTGGTTCTCTGTACAACCAAATCATCCAACGACATTCCAGAATATTTGAATTGGTTGAGGTATTAGCTTAGAATAATAATAACACTTTCTTACGAGTATAAAAGATACCGGTAATTCCGTTCTCACTCGGATTTTGCTATCCGTTCACAGAAATTTATCTGTTATACTCATGACATAGAAATGATTATTAAACATTTGCCTCAAAGTAGTATCGCCGTAATCCATCATAAATGTCCAGTTCAGATTTGAAAATAAGTCACGTAAAATTGAGTATCGGATTGTAATGGTCCAGTTTTTGCGGATTTATCAACTCTTTGTCTCTTGGTAAATTTAGAAGATACAATACAAAGTTACATTTCGTCAGAACTATGTTCTCTATCGGTACGGGATATTTTGAACAATTCGATCACATAATAACCTGTGAAGATGTTTGTATGAGAATTAAAAATTAAACTAGAGCATCAGAAAAATCATGTGAATCATACAAGACTAAACCGATGCTACGAGTATAGGTTTAGCGTAAGTACATATTGTTCTCGACGACAGGGGAATTTTCATTTTTTATTACTAAGGTTTCAGCAAACCTAAGTGTTCTCCATAGATGACTCAGAGTTTTGATTAATCTATATAATCAGATTGTTTTAAACACATTGCGCTTATTTATTACATCTTAATGACAAACTAAATCTCGCTGGACTGTCTAGACGTGTGAACATTCACGCTCTAAAATTCAGTCTCTAAATAGTTCCTGTAAACTTTCAACTTATACAAGATCAAACAAATAGTGCCTATGAGCCGTCTGTTTAAGAAAAGGGTTTAGAAGCACATAATTTTCATCTGTATTTTGGAAAACCCCAATAAGCTTCAAACGTTTATGTGTGGTTGAGAGATAAGATTGTTTATCTTGCATCTATCTTTTCCTGTGCAACAACGTACATTAATTGAAGTCAGCACACTTTCAGCAAGTATAAAACCCACCTTAGTTTTCAAAAATGGGAGCAAAGAGGTTAGAAGTTTTATTATTGATTGCAAGTGAGTTTGACCTTCAAACTAACTCGTATATCGACGTTAGTTTTCACACACGTTTTTTAAATTTCCTCTAGCTGCAACAGCTTAGAGCGTTAAAAGCTTTGGGTATCCATGATAGAAAGCTTCACTTCAGTATACAAAAAAATACACATGTATCTTCATGGTAGATCCTATCTTTTATATTGTCTTTTTTGTTTAAACAGTTTCTAATTGAATCCTTTAATGTGTCTTTTCCCAAATATCTCTTATACATCCTTGGTTTTGGTGGACTCAAAACGATATCAGTGGTTGCTTTTAATATTTTTACTTCCACATAGTGTATTAAAATATTTGGTAAATAGGCTTGATTAGATTTATTTAGTAATTTGAAGCAGGTAATATGATTCACATATTAAAAAGTTTTTATTGCTTAGGCAAGATTACAACTGTGTGCTTCTGAGTGCGCCAATCAAGCGCGGGACAAGTTACCTTCAAATGCAACTGAGTCACAGGTGAAGAATGCTCAACGTGAAATACTAGCATGTTCCCAAAAATGCGTGGACAATCAACTATCAAAGGGGCTTCCAGCCCTTATTATTCGACTAAAAGATCAATTGCAAAAGTTGAAGCAAAATCAAATTCATATCGCAAATTAGTTTGTGTAATATAAGTAATAAAACTAAAACCTTTTTAGCAAATGAATTGTATAGACCAGTTTCTTCATTTTTAATGTCACATACAAGTTTGGTACTCGTGGATATTTTGCGGAAAAAGCTTTGTGACTTGTTTTCCTACTTCAATCTGAGTTTGTAGCAACTAGGTTTGGACGCGAATCTATAAATACTATGACATTTTGCAAACCTAAGTGTGCTAAGGTTCACTGAGCAATATTCATTCATGTATCTCAAACATGGGTCAGCCATTTTCGAATTATAGTTCATCTAAAAAATATTAGTCAACCCTTAGGATATACTCATGAATGTAAGCTGATTTTAAACATTGAACTTTTATATCCAGAGGTTAAATTTGTATACCAAAACATCAGTTATCCGCGTCATGCACTAAAACTAAGGTAAAAATATATTGAGAAAAGAAACTTAAGCTGAATTCACAAAATTCTACGGTTGATGAATTATTTGTTTCACTTCACTCATGGCCAGACGTGAAAACCCATATCTTATTTATATGGGTAATTATCCCATTATCTAAATTTACTTATTTATTGGTACAAGGGGGCACCAGATACTTATGCGCCACACAATAATGAGAATGGGGACAGATAAAGAATGTAAGGTGCGCGTCAAAAATGACAATAACGACCACAGATTAGTGTATGGTAGTTTAATAATAATAGTAATAATGGGGGAAACGGAAAGGTTAAAGCAGGATCGCCATTGGCTTCTATTCTGAGCCATGTCTGATAACGTCTCTAGCCACTGTGTTGCACCATCTCTAGGACCCTAAACAGGGAGCCGTGAAGGACCAACACAGGCCAGCCCTTTGCAGCTTTGTTTGATACCACGACACCATGTCATACATTGACCACCTCTCCGCTATTTCCCAACCCGTCCCAGCATCGACAAATAATGCACGACGTGGAATTCTCTGGGACGACATTCGTAGAACATGTCCTAGCCACCGAAGTCGGTGTTTCAAAATGGTGTTGCCACTGGATGTCAACAATCCTTCGGAGACAACGATGATCAAACACAGAGAGTCGTCTAACATCCTCAACTCGGAGAGGCCAGGTTTCACGAGTATAGAGTAGAACTGCTCTCACAGATGCGTTGTAGATCAGACCTTTTACAGCCAGACTAACATCACGAAGGCGCCAAAGATGGCCCAGATTGGCATAAGCCGCCCTGGCTTTCACTATACGTGCATTAATCTCATCACCCATGCCAACACCAGCACTTATGCAGCTACCTAGATACACGAACTTCTCGACTAATTCTATCTGCTCACCATCCAGGGTGAGTACAGGCGGCCAAACCGAAACATGGCACAAGTCCTTGAAGTCACTGACAAGTGGACTGAGTCATGTTGGTAGGTGTAGACTACCTGGTTGGGGACCGTGAGATGACAGCAACCGATGGTTAGAGACCCTGAATGACATGGCTCAAAATCGTTTGCAATGGCACAGGTGCATCCACTCTCTGTATTCTCCCAAATTCTAATCTTCTGAATTCTTCATGTCCCTTTTTTTCTCTTTCCAAATTTATTTCACTGGATTATACTCTTTAAATAACATCTCCAAACCTTTATCTTCCCGATTACTGCTTATACTCTTATTACCTCTACCACTACGGGATTTGAATCGACAACTGCATCTCTGTGCTAATGTGGTGTGGCAACTCGAACTGATGTACGTACGTACGAAGTTCTACGTTGTTACTGACTGACTGACAGGATTAGAATCCTGTCAGTCTTGTAGAAGTACTTTGCACTTCAAAGGTGCAAAGCACATACCATACTCACGGGCACTAATTGCTACCTGGCTAAGTGTAGATTGCATGGCTTGGGTATCGTCGCCCAGTAAGACAATATCACCTGTATACTTAAAATCGAGAAGTCTTTCTCCAGGCAAAAAATCCTCACCACCATTGCTTACAGAGCTGTTTTCAGAACGTCATTGGTACCAAAATGGAAGAGGAATGGTGAGATTGGGCAGCCCTGTCTAACCCCACTGCTCGAATGGAACAGTGGAGAGAGGTGGTTGTATGCCCTCACTCTACCTGAGGTGTTTGTATTATATAGGGCTCTCAAGATGTTAATAAACTCCTCAGGCACACCCTTCTTCAATAAACAATCCCAGAGAACAGTCTTGTCCGACGAATCGAAGGCAGCCCTAACATCAAGAAACACTACGATTGTTGGCCTTTGATAATTATGACTGTGTTCTAACATTTGGCGGAGGGTGAAAATATGATCAATACATCATCGACTGGAACGAAACGCAGCCTGCTCCTCGCGCTTCAATCTTGCGTTTTGAACAACCTACGAAGTAATTAGTGACTGACGTCGCGAAATCGGTCCCAGTCATATTCATTTTGTACTTTTCTCTTAACCCCTAGTCAAGTATAGATCTTAAAGTCTCTTTCTTCAATCACATTTTCCTTTCAATCTTTACTCCTCATATTTAGATTCCCTGTTATTTTCGGTATTGTTTCTCGTCTTGGTCACGATGATCACACGAATCCTAACCAAGTGTCTCGCACCTACTACATGGCTCAATCCATTAGTCAGTGTCTTCGTGTACTGAAGCCACGTCTTGATTTAGCCGCCTCCTTCCAAACATCTACACCAGCCATCGCGCGTCGATGCAGTTGGTGGGCTGGCATGCGTAATACATATCCTAACCATCTCAACTTATGAACATTCATTACATTATCAATCGATTTTCTATGACTACCTAATCCTCTACTCCTGAACTTGATGGTTCCAAAATATACGATCAGTGCTTGAATACACTAATGACGGGACACTAATAAGTTATGAATGTCAACGACAAGGATTTGAAAAGCTTCATAACACTTCGTAGTATGCTCGTCCTTTCACTTTCCGAACAGACTTCTGGTCTGCACCACAAGTTGGCAAGAACCGGCCGAGCCCTCGAAGGTTGTCTTGAGGTTTCGTCAGACTTGCTGGGCAGACGAAGCTTCCAAAGTGATCAACATGCTCAACTAATTCATCCCGTATCATTAGTCAAGGAGTTTACGCTGGTCGCCTCTGAAGCGACAGTTTGTATTTAGTAGAGAAATACGTTCCAAACACGTTAGAAGTGATGTTAAAGACGGTTAATTTATTTTGATTTGACGCGACAATACTTAGTGGTTTTGTGAATTTAAATACAAAAGGTCCATTGAGGTTGTTGACCTATCCAGAGTTTTAACAGTAGGAGTACACATAGCATAGCATCTCTCTATTAATACTTAAACGTGTTGTTAAGAGTTTACTTCGAATAAGCGTATTCCAACAGGCAACTCATACGCTCTGAAGTTCATTTCATTCTGTAAATCTCTCCCATTTTGTTCAAATTTATCACTTGAGGTACCATTCCTAGGACGTATTTAGTCCTAAGACAAAATTTCTCTTTGCTAAGTTTACTTATTCCTGTGGTTCAGATGCCAACGTAAACTACGCAAAATTATGGCGTGTGCTAAGCAATTAAGAAGTCAGTGCAGGCTTTATAGCGATTCTCGGGCTGTTCGTCATACGAGGAATCCAAATCATACTCTGAGATTCAAATACGTAAAGTGGCGCAATTTCGCAAACTGACATTTCACTTTTATATCAAGAAGATATTTAATAACAACTAATTACAAAAGTATGTGATGAGAATATAATCTTTTTAAATCGACCAGCCTTCTCGATGGTTACATAGAGACCACATTGGTGAACAGTCTTTAAGCTACTGATTTAATTGGAAGTGGAGTACTGGTAATTGTCCTATTTGAAGCTTACAGGTAGATGTTAATGTTATCATTAGTGTAGGGATGCGTTTCCACTTTTTATTGGACTGCTAAAAATTCCTACTTACCAATAAATAATAATGTAATTGCTAAAGACATTTGGTCGGGAAAACTTATTCGGTAGCAACACAAGACAGAACTTAGCCCCACAAAACAACAGGATTACATGATAGCTGATAGGAAGATCGACAAAATATTTATTGATAGTAAGTCAAACAATGGTAATTGTGTGAGAATACATAGGCGAATCTTACGAATAAAAAATGAGAACTAGAAGATTTAGAAGCCATGTTGTTCAAATATAGCGGATTCATAGGACTGAAGTCAAACTAATTTATTGTTGAAAGACTTATTATTCTGTCGGAATTAGTTTGTTGGATCTATTTAAATTAGGCTTGGGTACTTGTAACTACATAGCTAAGATGCCTAAAACGATAATAGTTGCATAGTCTTACAAGACATTTTTAATAGCGTGAACTTGTAATAAATCCAATGTTCTGAGAAATTGTACTAAATATGTTATGCTTTAGAAAGAGGAAGAACGGCACAAGATGAAACAGAGTAATGATGTGTTGCAGATGTACGCACACTGAGCGACTATCCATCATTTGTAACACTAGTATCCGTCGCGTTTCCAAACCATTCTGTATCCACCGGAGGCAATGTATATTCCAACTTTGGCCATAGCTTCGGTTTACCAATATTAGACGAGCAAGGCATTTGACCGTATAATTCGCATATACATTGGCGCGGGAACCTACAGTTGAATAAGAAATTGTTAGATTTTTTAGATTTAAAATTACTCGGTGCCAAAACTTGATGGGTTTTTTGTAGTCAAATCATTCACTAAGGAACTCTCAGATGAAGCAGTTTTCCCAAGAAGTGTAATTAGGTGATCATAGATATCGGAATTCTTTCGAAAGGCACAATTCACCACTTGTTCTTCGTTTTTTTCAAGATAAATTTTAATAAATGGAGTCGGACACATATTTTTGAACGTAATTATCTGGTGAGTTAGAAATGCGAATTAAATGATTACCTGAACGTTTGGATTTCTGAATTGTAAAGGAGGTAAATGCCACTTAATGAACTCATCACATCCATGTGATATTTCTGCTCCGGGGACATGATTGATGACAATAATCTTGACACCATCATTCAGAAGTATTCGTCCAGCTTCTAAGTACTTTTTAGTCCTTGTCACCGCAGCACGTCCACCCTTCAGAAATGGCATTCTCCAGAATTTATAATCTAATTTTCACAGTTCACAAGAGAAAGACTTATGAATGTTTTGAAAGATCCTATAGTCAAATAAAACTAAATTTATTTGACGAGGTTCTATGTCGCTGATTTATGTTTTTTTGTCAAGTTTGTAACTTCAGGCTTACCAGCTGTCGATATACAGCCTGAAATAAATCTTCAACACTACTAATTTATAAACACTTTACTACATCTCACTTCCTGACTCATACGGTTAAAGTGTTGCCATTTGAACCAAAATAGTACCGCGAACTTGAATATTTCCAGGTTTGCTTGCCTATTTTACTTTCTTGTGAGTAGAAACACTTCAACGAAATAAAAGAATTATCATTTTTAAGCCTAATAATTTGAACATGGTGGGTTAACTTAAGAAAAACCTGGCTACCCTTCAATCACCTATCATTCATTAGGTCTCAGCTGACGATTAACATCACACCACTAACACTTCTCAAAAATGAAAGGGCTATTAATGTAACTCTCCCACCAATTACAGAGCCTTAAGCTAAAATCTGATGAGTCAGACCCAGTTTTTTGGGCGAAAAGGTGATATATCAGAGTAATCATAAATTAACAAAATAATAAGTGGATGTGACCACACAAGAAATAACTTTCATTTCTAATCGATGAGACATATATATATATATCAGCGAAAAGGGTTGGGGTAGTAAATCTATTCCTTCAGCCGGGTTTTTCATGTTGCAGAAGAAGCAGTGAACACTGGTCCACTAAATATTCCACGTTCCATTTATCATGTTTAGAAATGATCTTCCTTTATGCACACCCTGGACCTAAAAGTGCATTTCGTCTCATTCAGACGATAAAAACGTTACCAATTGGGTTTCCGAAAGATTGTAGATTTATGTAGATACACTGACTTATTTTAGCTGAATTTAAGTACTAAAGTGGCTTCAATGATGCTGATACATATTTACATGGCAGAGTATCGGTGAATTACAACGGTGACCCTAATTGTATTAATTTGGATCCTATCAATACAGTTACTGTGTACCGAAAATAGGTTTATTCCACTTAAAACTATATTTATGAGAATTGGTGAGACACTAACATCCAAGCACTAAATATGTTTATCCGATCTCTGACTCCATGTTTGTTATTTATTTCCCCCTAGATTGCCCCAGGTGATAACCGGACCGATAATACAACCATAGGAGTACGCGAGGTCTAGTTCAATGGTTGGACTTCGGGGCGTCACAAAGTTTGTGCGTGCAGTGGGGGGTGATTGACATTTGCTTTGTAGGAATTCCTGTCAACCTTCTTATTGAGAACGAGTAATGGCTACATCAAATTTCTCTGTTCGTGAGCTTGCTGTCTCAACAATTTTTTGGTAATGTGACTTACCTGTCGTTATTGATACAAATTCTTACTATAAACTCGCACAACCGGCTGCTTGAGTGAAAAGTTTGAATAAGAAGGAAGCTTAATAACTAGACCATGTGTGTGCACATTATACCTTACCAATTAGAGATGAGGGCTATTTCTTGTGTGATTACACGCAATTATTATTTTGCTGATTTCTGAGTACTCCGATGTATCAGCTATAAAGACCTTGAGGAGTGGGGTAAGTGCGACAGACATTGGTAGGCCGACCGTTCAGATATTTCGAATTGGTGATAGCAGCTTGTCAGTTGCACTGGTTGCAGCATGATTGAAAGTATGGAGAATAGACGGTCTTAAAACTGCTGTTTATTTTAATTAGTACAAGAAATTTCGTCTTGTGATAACCACTAAAAAATGAGCTTAAATAAACTAATGCCCGAGACGCTATCTGCTATAACCAATTATTTGCTGTAGAATAGCAAATCCCAGGAAATCAAAAATACATTTATGGTCTGAGTGTGGTCCAGACTTTTATTCTTTATCGTGTTATAAAACAATTTTTTGCTGTTGTCTGGCTTCGCTTATATTCTCGACCTAAAGGTATCATTTGATCTTGTCAGGTGAAAGGTTTTTTGACAATTCACAACACTGACAGGAAAGTATTCCATCTTACTCAGAGGTTTGTAGGAGAAAAATTGGGTGAGACTATAATTTATGGACGATTTTCGTTTGTCCCATGAGACGATGGAAACCTTTAAGCTGAGCACTGTTTGAGCAACGCACCACTTTATGACCTTGTCACCGCATTGATTTATCTTCCACCGCCGGGTGAGGGTAAATAGTTCAAATACTACACATGATCTTATCTCAGAGAGCTTTATTAGGTTATTTGAATGGTTCAAATGCTTTTGGATGGAATAGTAGAAACTTACTCTTAACGTGCTTCTGTATCTAGTAGCAGTGGATCAACGACACCTCCAGGCAGGATCCTAGGTATTTTATGGATAAAAGACGAAAAGAAAAAAATGTTCGTAGATCATGGCAACATACTATCCTTAGCCCTCAAGAATATGTCAAGTTTCCTCTTTAAGGGCTCTTTGGAAGTCGTTTGGACTAGCTCAGCCAGCAGCGAGTTCCAGCATTTGGCAACTCTTAAGGAGTAGAAGGTATGTATACAGTCCGTTCTGCTATGGTATTTCCAGTTCTGGGCGTTTTCGGATTTACATTTGTGTAGTACAGACAGAAGGCCTACGACCTATGTTATTCCTTTTCTAGCATGCTTCTGTGAGTGTCCAGTCTTCCCTTGAATGAGTCTATTGAAGGTGCGGACACCACTGCTTCAAGCAGCAGGTTCCAAGTATTGATGACACGGTGTGAAAACCTGTATGCCATGGGTAGTTTGCTCGTTCATGGCTTTTCTGCTCGCTTGCTATGTCCTCTGAGGTGTCCCGATCTAGTGAGAAGAAGGAGAGAGAATAAGTTAGGTTCAAAATCATTTCTCAGTATTCTGTACATCAAAATTAGATCTCTCCTTAATCTGAGATAGAACGGAGTAAAGAGGTTCAGCTTTTCAAGCCGCCCTTTGTATGGTAAACCGCGGAGTACTGGAATTGCACGGGTAGCTGCCTTCTGTACTTTTTCAAGGATATCCGAGTCACCTTTTAGACAGGGGCTTGCAGCCTGAACGCAGTTCTCAAGCTTAGTTCTCATTAAGGATGTGTATACTGTGGTGAACATGGCAATATCTAACTTGGCGAATGTCCTTTTTAAAGCCTAGAGGGTTCGAAACCCTTTAGCGCCTACCTCCCGGCAATGGGCCGTCGTCTTAAGATCATGGATCACTGTCATCCCTAGATCCATATGAGACCCGACCACGGGTAATAGTGTAGAATTATCGTCTTCTATGATATTAGTACTGCTCTAATAATAGACCTAATCCTAAAATTGTAGATTTGTCATGATATAACTGCCTAATCTATAAGATCTTACGTGGAAGTCACATCATCGTCTACACCAACTCACTGTTTCGTAACAACTACTAATACATGATGAAGAACAAGCTTAGGCTAGAGAAAGAACAATATATTTAATATGAATAAAAGATATAAGGTAATATTCAGAGGGACCACGCCTGCATGGCTGAGCCATGCCATCCGATTAACTTCAATTCATTCGATTCTTTGTTCGCGCCTTCTCCATCGTTAGGTATTTCTCGGCGTTAAATATTGAATATCTATTTTCCGAGTAGTCTCGTGTTCAGCTTTGAGGATTGTGTGATTATGCTCCAATGCCACTACAATAGCACTTCCCCTATGTTGTGCCTATTAACCTTTTAATCCCCAAAGTGCATGTAGACACACTTTGCCGCGTTTATAGGCGTCAGCCTTTCTTTAGACCAGTTAATCATATTATTTAAGTCTGCCTGAAGAGCACCTGCGTCTAAGCCTTCAGTTATTACTCGACAGACCTTTACGTTGTCAGCGTATAATAACATTTGAGACTGTACTATACTTGAGAGATTATTAACATACATTATAAAAATTAAAGGACCTAAGTCGGAACCTTGAGGTAATCCACTAAGTACTGGTCTCAAAATGGAGAACTTGGAATTTATTCTTACTTTCTGTCTACGACCTACTAGGAAATCCTTAATCCATTTTAAAAGAGGTCCGGCAATACCAGGGTTTTCCAACTTCGATAGCAGTCTATTAGTCGGCACCTTGTTAAAAGCCTTACTGAAGTCTATGTAGACAACATCCACTGAATTCCCGTTGTCTAGCGCCTTTATCCAAAACTCCCTTGCTATAAGGAGGTTCGCTGCACGAGACAGACCCTTTCTAAAACCACGTTGTTCTATGTTTAGCAAGTTATTGGTTTCCATAAATGCCATTATTGTCCGTTTGACTATCCATTCCAATATTTTAACTACAACACTGGTCAGACTTACAGGTTTGTGGTTCGATTAAACTTGTCTTGGTCCTGTTTTATGTGTGGGGGGTGACGATTGAGTCCTTTCAGTCCATAGGTAACACACCTTGATCAAGTGACATATTGAATATCACAGTCAACGGGACCGCGATATATTATGCAATATATCTCAAAATTTTGGGGTGTAGTTCATCTGGTCCTGTCGGCTTTTCCATGTTTAAGGTGCTAAGAGCCTTAAGCACATCGTCTTGATCGAAGTCAACGACGAGCAGGTGGTTTGTTGACTCTGTTTTGGTTTGGTTCTTTGTCTAGAGTGGGTTCCTGAGTGAAAACTGCCCCAAATAGTCAGCCATAGCTTCTGCTTTTTCCTGATCTTCCTCTATCATTTCAGATTTACTTCCTACTTTAATTAGGTTGGGAATCCAGTGATGCATCCTTGTTCTGTAGTTTATGTGCGAGAATATTCTCTTGGGCTGCTTGAGTGCAGATTATGCCAACTGCATTTCATATTTTCTTTGAACTTCTCGAATTTCCGTTATACACTCGTTTCTTATCGATCTGTAGTGTTCCATAGTACTTGCTGTGCCAAGGCGGATGGCAACATCGCAACATTCCTTCTTTTGTCTCAGTAAACGTCGAATATCCCGCCCTATCCATGGATATCCGCGCTTCGTTTTCTTTGGGACAGTCCAGGGTATGTATGGTTGAGTTACCCGATTGTATAACTGCCTGAAAAAAGTTCATGCCTCTTGTACTGATGTCTTTGAGTCAATTTCCCAGATTTCAGCCGATGCTGCGGAATTGATTGCCTCCATATCTGCCTTCTGTATATTAGGACGGACCGGCGCAACTGTTTGACAGGCAATCTCAGTCATGAATTTGAATAAGATGACTGCATGGTTACTTCTCCCTAATGGTGGGAGAAAAGTCATTCGACCAACGTCATCTTCGTGTGTGAAGACTAAATCTAAAAGAAAAGAAGAGTTTCTCAAGTCATATCTCGTGGGGTTTCTAATGTGTTGGAATACAGCTAATCCAATCGAGGTGTCTAACAGTTGGCAGTCGAACGACGTTATCAATGACCCTACTTCTAAGTTAACCCAGTTTACATACGGTGCATCAATGTCGCCTACTACGAGGCTTTTACTCTTGTTACACCAGGACTTAAGTTTTCTGAGGAGAAAATCATCTGCTACACATTCTGGACTGCGATATACTACAACTAATTCAATATCTTGCCTTCGGCATTTCAACTTACATCTCACCAGTTCACATGTCCCTGAAACATGTGTCACAGTCTCAGCTACTCTTATGGTTAGGCAACTTTTCGTGTACAGGATAACCCCGCCTCCCCTACAGTTTAATCTATCAGCCGTACTGGTTAAGAAACCAGTCAACTGAATTTCATTATCTAATACTTCTGACGTTACCGAAGTTTCCGAGACAGCAATAACATCTGGTTTTTCTTTATCTACCATTGACTTGAACTCCGCCATTTGATTTAGTAGGCTGTGAGCATTTGTGTAGCAAACCTTTAAGTCTGTGAGAACTTTCCCTTGCCACCCAGAGTGGCTTGGGGATCGTTTTGCTCCGAACTTTTGCAATTTGAAAACCCTTAAGAACGAGGTTTCTTTCACCGTTTCGGCGACGCTCATTTATTTCCGCTTCCACACCTCGTCTCTTAATACGATCAGCTAGGCTGAGATCCTCACGGACGCATACTCCGGATCCAATCAGTTTACGTGAGTTACTAGAATCAGGTTCCTTTCTTCCACCGTGTTGAATGTAGCCTTCAAGAGGCGGTTTTTCTGAGGACTTTCAGACTCCACCTTTTGTCGTATTCTATGAAGCTTACAAATACTAACTCCTGAAACTGTATCTGGAAGTAGTTTGCTTATTAAGGACTTAATATGACTGAGATTATGTTCAAATCTAGCCTTTGGTTCTTAATCGGGAGATTCTCTTAACTTACGAAAAATGGCTGACCTCTCAGAGAGATCTGTCTTGACACGTAGTGGAGTTTTTGTTTCTGTTACTGTCTCTTTCAATGACTTGCTAACCAGCTGCGTTTTGCTTACAGCTCTTTTCTCATTTCTTTTTCTCCGTACTGAAGTTCATTTTTCATCACTCAGGACAGCCACACCGGGACTATTTGGAACAGTGACAGTTTCATCCTGGTCTTCAATTTCCGCTAGAGGTGTATGATTACCGATGTCAATATCAAGCGGCACTTCACTCCTTGTTGATGTTAACGGAGATTTCACCTTCTCGCCAATCACAGTCGGGTGCTTAGCGGGTCCGGTAGCGGCACGTACTACACTGGCACATTCTTCACCGTCAGTGTTCATGTTACCAGCGCAACCACCATCGTTTCTCTTACAGGCCAAAGGCAATAGGCTCATAGCCTCCTTAATTAGTAACTTCTTATTTGCACAGCAAAGCATACAAAGCCAACACGAATTAGGCTTCGAGTATTTTTTGTATGCCGTAGGACTTGGACGTGTACACATCTCATGGTGCCACTTTTTACATTCATCGCACTGCATTCCTTCCTCAACGGGGAACAAGCAGTTTGGTTGTCCACATAAGTCCTCATAAGTCTTACTAACCATAGTGTTTTGATTAAAAAGGTTTAAGACACAATATGGTCACAATGCGAACACGAGTGTCAGTCAATGAGTAAAAAAAGTTCCACAGGATAAAGTTTAACAAAAATTTCAAACCTTAACCAAAGTACTTTTAGTTAAAGTCGGCCAAGAATGCTTTTTGGTGCAACAAGTACACAAAGCGAGAATAATCACGACAAGTACGAAAATCACTTCTCTTTTTGAAGGGAGCTCTTTAGTTCCGCTTGGGTTTTTTGGAGCTAAGCTTAATTGGGTTTTATAAGGAGATGTCTAGAAATG